TGGCTAAGTATGGTTCATTGGCCTGGGGCTCTAGATTGCACCCAAGCGTGGTTAAGGCCAAAAATTTGACGAGGGTTAAGGCAATGTCTAGGGCCACGTATACGTGGAGAGTATATAGAACCAACAGAAAAACTGGAGACATATACTGTTTGTAATCATACATATGTAAAACCACACCAAATATGGCAACTTTAATGGGGAAAACCCATTTGGGGATTTGATTTTTAGGATTAGGGTTTTGTTGAGCCTTGATGGGTAAGCAAGTGAAGCAGATGAACCGGGAGATATTAGAGGGAAGTGGGAAAAGAGAACCTTGATTGAAAGAGAAGAGTACGAGTTTTGCACTAGCGAGACATGAAAGGGAAACAGCTATGCAACAAGAGAAATGAAGATAAGAGAAAAACAGAGGAAGGACTTGAAAGAAAGCACAAACGGGAAGAACGGAGATTAATCGTAAAACTCCAGCTTTGATTCTGGAGGATATGTAGTAACAGTAAGATACAGATATTACTGCAAGCACCCATACTATGAAGAAACCTAAGACTTCTCCATCCATCTCTCAGATCTTTTCTTTTTGCGTTGATGTGTCCTTGCAATCAATCACCAAGGCTTTAACTTAGTGGTTGCGTGTACAAGAAGCAATTGCAATTTTATTAAACAACAACCGAATAGTATATAATTACGGCATGTGGTTTTACCGCTCTTTATTCTAAGGTTTATTCTTCTGATCTTACTTGCGTGATTTCAGTCATGGTTTCGTTATTTTTACTCCGATGGCACACTCCATTGATACTTAGCTTAAGCTAAAAGTAAATAATGAATGCATGTTGACTTTATAACATTTGTTTTATTCAAGTGTACCCATACTTGATAAGTATGAAATAACTATAATTCTTATAAACGAATTTGATATCAAGCGGGCTGTGCTTGGTAATTCTGAATCCAAAACTCGTTTTAACTCTTTTCTATCATGTAGAGTCTAGTCATTACTCAGACGTTGAATAAATATATAATTTGTCATAGTTTGGACTTTATGGGATTACTATCAGTGGTTCATGCAAAAAGTTTTACGTTCTATCTTCTTTTCGAGTTGCTTCGTTCGTGCATCTCACCTACGCAAATAAGTCACTTTTAGTCCTTTTGGTTGTACTCCAGTGGCAATGATTTTGTTTGATCGTGATGGTGGGAAGCTGATTCGAAAGATCTCAAAGCTTTTGAAAGCTAAGTTTGATGGTCCGTATTATTGCTGGACAGAAACGCCTCCTCACATCCAACGTTGCTATATTTTGAAGATTTTGCTGTAAAATCTTCTTGAGTTAACTAACAGTTTTTTTTTTGTCAGAGATGCTTATTACTTACATACAATTTTTGTTGATGTGTAGCAAAGACATCATTGGGATAGGTCGATCACCACACTTGTACGAGATGAGTTTGAAATCATCTGTCTTAGTCGTATGAAAGGAATGGTGTGTCAAGCAAAGAAGAAAGGCACACGACCATCTTGGATTAGAGATACATTGTGGGAACAAATGTGCACCTACTGGGCCACTGATGCAGCCAAGAAGAAGAGTAAAAAAGTATCAAAAGCTCGGAACTCTGACCGTGGTGGACTTGGGCCATTCAAGCACTTCGCAGGACCATGGTCTTTCTCACGAATTCAGCAAAATATGGTAACATACTTGAATAATAACTTAGTAAATTTTAAGGTTTCAGCTTTGTCTTACTAAAATGCATGTTAATATTTTAGGAAGAAGAATTGGGCCGACATATGAGTATTGGAGAAGTTTTTATCAAGACACATACTAGGGCTGACGGGACATTTAGTGATCTAAAGGCTCAGCAGGTTGCCCAAGCTTATGAAAAGAAAATAGATGATAAGATATCCCAGGTTGAACAAGACTTTTGTGTGAATGGTGGTGACAGTTCCTATATTCCTGATCTTTCACCAAATGAAATGAATGAGATCTTTCTTGAGGTAAACCACGGAAACCATTGTAATGTTTTGCCTATTAATTACTGAAAGATTTCATTATTTTCAGAGTACTACTTTGGATACAAGAGGACATGAATATGGACTTGGTAGCCTTCTTCCACTTTATGGGAACAAAAAGAGAAAAGGAGGTCCTGGAAGTTCTGCTTCTTCTGCATTTGCACACTTGCAAGAACAACTTGAAGCTGCTCAACGTCTAATTGAAGAGCAAGCAGCGGCCAATGCTCGACGTGATGTTGAAACCGCAGCAGCCAATGCTCAACGTGATGCTGAAAGAGCAGCTCAAGCGGCAGAGCAACAAAGTCAGATCAATACTTTGAAGATGCTGGTGACTTTTATGAAAGGTAAAGACCCAACATTCTCAGAGTTTATGACTGCAGCAACTTCTGTATCCTAAACAGCTTATGTTCCTAACTTAAGTTTCTTTTTGTATTAACTAGCTGATAACTTAAGTTGTTGTTTTTTGTATGAACTAGGTCATAACTTATGTTGCTTTTTGTATCCTAAGTACCTAGTTCAGAACTTAAGTTGTTATTGTATAAAAACAAAATCTAAATATTCTGTATTGTGTTTTGTATATTGTATTTTAAGCTTTTGTATATTGTATTCAAGAATTAGATTCTGTTAGTTTTAGAATTCAGGTTATAAATGTTGCAACCAACACATACAAATAATGTTGTTACAAATTAGTTGTTAAGATACTAACTACATTGTGACACAAGCAAATAATATAGTTGCTAATTCGTCACTCGTTTTGTTACTATATTGCGACTCCCACTAAGTTGTGTAGTCCCAAACCAGTTTCTATTTTTGTGATTAAATGGCAACTACACAGAATTGTATTTAGTTGCCTATATGTTACTAAATTTGCGACTACACTACAACCTCTGAAGCTAAATTAGTAGCAAACTAATGCCAATCTAAAACAGTTGCTTATTAGTTACTACAATATCAATTTTTGTAACTTTTGTTTTGAGATGTCATTTAGTGGCTAATGTACCACTACTTTCTTCGTTACAAGTTAGTTGCAAATGAGCAACGGATTAGCAACTACGCCTATTAGCAACAAAGCTTTTCTAACCATGCAATGAAGTTGCAAATGAGTTGCAAAATCAGTGTTTTCTTGTAGTGACCAAACCCGATAATCGTAGAATCTCTCTTTAGTTTTACTCGTAAATATTCAGCAAAAGTACAATATGATTGATGAACTCTATATAAAACAATAACTAAAGATTTTGGCAAAACTACTAGAATATGGTATGTTGTTGAAGCTATATAATTGCCAAATTCTGGTCGATAATCACAGAACCTCTCTTTCATTCAGCACCCAAGCATACGAAGCAGAACTCTCAAGGCAGCTACAAAAATCTGAAACTCCAAGTATGCATGAAAAGAATAGAGGACTAAGAGCATAGGCGGAGCTTTTCTAATATGGTAGTTGCAAAATCAATGTTTTCTTGTAGTGACCAAACCCGATAATCGTAGAATCTCTCTTTAGTTTTACTTGTAAATATTCAGAAAAAGTACAATGTGATTGATGAACTCTATATAAAACAATAACTAAATATTTTGGCAAAACTACTAGAATATGGTATGTTGTTGAAGTTGTATGATTGCCAAATTCTGGTCGATAATCACAGAACCTCTCTTTCATTCAGCACCCAAGCATACGAAGCAGAACTCTCAAGGGAGCTACAAAAATCTGAAACTCCAAGTATGCATGAAAATAATAGAGGACTAAGAGCATAGGCGGAGATTTTCTAATATGGTAGTTGCAAAATCAGTGTTTTCTTGTAGTGACCAAACCCGATAATCGTAGAATCTCTCTTTAGTTTTACTCGTAAATATTCAGCAAAAGTACAATATGATTGATGAACTCTATATAAAACAATAACTAAAGATTTTGGCAGAACTATTAGAATATGGTATGTTGTTGAAGCTGTATGATTGCCAAATTCTGGTCGATAATCACAGAACCTCTCTTTCATTCAGCACCCAAGCATACGAAGAAGAACTCTCAAGGGAGCTACAAAAAATCTGAAACTCCAAGTATGCATGAAAAGAATAGAGGACTAAGAGCATAGGCGGAGCCGCGGAGATACATTGTTTGTAATCATACAGTTTCAACAACACACCATTTGGGCAGTTGAATTTGAGACTTTAGGGTTTTGTTGATGCTTGATACTTGATAGGGAAGCAAGTGAAGCAGATCAACTGAGAGATGTTAGGAGGAATACATTTATCGAAGAAGAAAAAGAGGATAAGCTTGAAAGTGGCCAGCCATGTGAGGGATAAGGCAGTGAACAGAGGAAGGAAAAGAAACAGAACACAAACGGGAAGACCAGAGAGTAAGCGAAAGACTCCAGGTTTTATTTTGGTTGATAACTATTAACTATAAGATATTGAGAATATTATTTCTGAACCCCAAACCTTCATGAATCTCTTGAGTTCTTCCTCCATCTCTCTTTTCTTTTCTTTTCCAATCACTTAGACTTTCTTTACGTAAGATAATCTGATGAATTAAATAGAAAATTGGGAAATTGATTGGACAAATTGGATATATTCTACGTTTAGTTGGGTTATATAGATTGAGTAGAAATTAAGTAGTTTTACATACTATAGTATTAGTATCATTGCATTCATGTAAGTCATATAATATAATAAAATTCTAGATATTTTTAAAAAAATATTATCTATCATTTTGGAAAATCTATATCTACTTTTGAACCATACTAGATATAATATACATGTGTATTTTGGGTTACATAATTTAATCCTTGATGATATACATATATTAAACATTTAATGATAATAAGAGATTATAAATAATTATTTATTTTGTATATATAAAATACAAAACTAATATGTAAATGATGATATAGATGTGATGTGTCAGAACTCCCCTTACCATGATATACTAAAACCACTAATCACCATGATGTGTTATTCTGAAACTCCACAATGAATTGTGGTTTGATTATCCAGAATGAAATACACATACATTCATGAATCATGACCCAAAAGTAAAAAAATTGTCTTTGACAAAAGCAATGAACAACAAGGCTTCATTAGGGAGTCTAACGAACATGCCACTTCTTATAAGAGGAGGGAAAAACAACCAACCACTCGTCAAAACTACAAAAGCTACCGTGAGCAGTCGTGAAACCATCAGACTCATCTTCCACCGTCGCACAAACTTCATCTTCTTCACCGCTACTTCCGCCGCCGTGCAAACTCCATGTAACACAAAGAACCAAGTGACCTCTCCTGTAGGCATCTCGCGGGTAACATAGAAGAAGATCAGCTCGTGAACTGCACCAGAGACCATGAACGTCGCCATAACAGCCAAAAACCTAGCCTTATCAGAGCTCAGTTTCTTTTCGGCTATTTGCTGCACTGGATTGTAAACGGCTGGCCGGAGGATGGCCGGGACCATTAGGTTCCACCTGCGACCCCAGAAATCTTGAAGAGAAGTGGCTAAGTATGGCTCATTGGACTGTGGCTCTAGATCGCATCCAAGAGTGATAAGGACCAAGACTTTGACGAGCATTAAGACAATCTCAAGCTCTAAATATATATGCAGAGAATACAGAACCAACAACATTGTCGGAGACAAGTGTTGTTTGTAAGCATACATACGTAACAACACACCGAATAGGACAACTTTAATGGCGAAAACCCATTTGGGGATCTCACTTTGAGATTTAGGGCTTTGTTGAGGCTTGATGGGGAAGCAAGTGAAGTAGATGAACCGGGAGAGACTTTGGGGAAGTGGGTAAAGAGGACCTCTGTCGAAGGAGAAGAGGATGAGTTTGAAATTGGCGAGCCATGTGAGGAAAAACGCTGTGGATTCAGAGAAGTGAACAGAGGAGAAACACAGAGGGAGAAGAAGAAACAGAGCACACACTGGAAGAACAGAGAGTAATCTTAAAACTCCAGCTTTGATTCTGGTTGATAAGTAGTAACAATAAGATACAGAGATGATTGCAGAAAACCATACAATGATAAGGTTCTTGAGTTCTTGTTCCATCTCTCTAGATCTTGTTTCTTTTTTTTTTCCTCCTATCAACGAGGCTTTGACTTTGATTTAGTTTGGCTATTATATACTTTAAATATCAAAAGAATCATCCAAGTTCTGAATATAAAAAATAGGGTAGCTTGATTTGACAGCTACAGCCTACACGAATTGTTAAGTAGATTCTGACGTTATGAACATGTTATTGCAACTTTGATGGGAAGCCATCTATATTCTCTACTACTATCCAGGAGATGGAGGAAAATAATGATTATGGAAACCAAAAAAATGCAAACAAATATAAATTGGAAAACGAAAAAAAGTCATTTAGTTCATATTTTCACCAAATATATTTATTAAATTAAGTTAATATTCAAATAAAAACAACATATTTAAACAAAATCATTTTTGTTTTGGGACATTTGCTAAAAACAACCTAAAATTTCAAATCAAATGCAAAAGTGTACCACAATTTCAATTAAATGCAAAACCAACCTAAAGGGTAGATAACTGTCTATTTACTCCTTATGTCTAAACAAAAAACCAGAATGCTATTTTACAATTTTATCCTTATGAAGTCTACATTTAATAGAGAGAAGTATACAAGGTGTAGACTTATCATGAAGTCAATATTATAAACTTATTACGAAGTCTACATTCTAAATTAATCTTATAATTTTATTATTAAAATATATAAAAATAAATTCTGTGAAATTTCTTTTAGGTAATCAATATAAGAATCAGTACGAGGTATATAAATTAAAATTTCATATAATTAAACAATTTTAACGAATATATATTGATTAGGTAACAATAATGAAATAGTCATAGTAGATTTCAAAAAAAAGTCTACTAAATAGACTTGCAATAAAGTCTACTCCAAAATTTTAATTGTAGTAGACTTCAAAAGAAGTCTATACTAACAAAATTTTTAACCTAGTTACAATTTTGTCTCCCTATATAAATGAAATTTAGACAATTCCTCTCTAAAATGGCTGCACAAGTTTCTAAAAAAAAACTCTCACTTCTCTCTAAAACTCTCTCCTTTCTCTCTAAAACTCTCTCATTGCTCAACTCTTTGAAGGTGAAGATAAATTTTTGTTTAGTTTGTTAATTTTTCTATCATGTCTTTTTCACAATATTATCTTGTGTTTGTAGGTTAATTCATGGTTATCACATTCCTCTCTAAAAATGTAAGTCTTAGATCTATACATTTTAAATGTGTACCTTTATGTTTATATTCAAATAAAGTTACAAATATAAACTATTTGCATTTACTTTGCTAATATTTTATCTTATAAATTCTATTTCTAAAGTTTTGTTTTCAGATTAAAAACTATATTTCATATTTTCACATGTACATAGTTTCCAGATGTGAAAATTATCCGATATATTAGACTTGTAATGAACTCTACAAAACTAGAAGTGACTTTGTATGTATAATGTTTTTCTCATAATTTTATCTTTATTTTGTTAATATTTTCTTCCATGGTTTTTATCTAGTTTTCCCAAAAATGAAAGATTCACATTTTCAAATATATAAATTTTTCAGATCTGAAAATTATCTAATATAGTAGACTTCTAATGAAGCCTACAAGGTTATGACTTTAATTGTTTGTCTTATGTTTTTCATAGTTTCATCTTTATTTTGCAGGTATTTTCTTCCATGGTTTTTTTCTCTTCCACAAAAAAATTGTAAGATTTACAGCTATAATGTGTGTTTTTCTTTTTAGATTTAAATTTATTTTTCACGTTTGTAATGTATATATTTTTCAGATCTAAAATTTTTCGGATTGAGTAGATAACAAATGAAGTTTATTAACTTTAACTTTTAAACAGACTTCATTAGAAGTCTACTCAAATATGATTTTATTTTTTTGTCTTATATTTTTTCATAATTATATTTTATTTTATAGGTATTCTCTTCCAAAGTTTTCAAATCACATTCCAAAAAATGTAAGATTTACATATATTCATTTAAAATTTTATTTTTTTGTTTATATAAAACTAAATTTATAGATACAAGCTCTATGCTTTTTCTTTGCTAATTTTAGATTAAACACTATTTTGAATTATTTTGCAGAAAATACTATTTTCTAATTTTGTAATTCTACATTTTTAGATCTGAAATTATTTTTGGCATGAAGTTTTTTAAAAATTAAGGTTAGTAGACTTTAAAGAAAGTTTATTGAACCCATCAACTTTAAGTAGACTTTTATGAAGTCAACTAAAAATAATTTGAATGTGTTTACCTTATGTTTACTCATAATTTTATTTTATTTTGCAGGTACTCTTTTCCAAGATTTCATTTGATATATCAAGATTATGAATAATCATACACTCTAGAGATTTAAAAGAGAATACTTTGTAATAATTTATCTTTACAAAATATTCATTTGTAAATAAATATTCTGATACATAATCAATAAACATTGTATTAATTGTTTAATTGTGTTGATATTATTAATTTTTGTTAGCAATCAGTTTTTCATAAAATACTCTAGTCAGCCAAACAGTTAAAAACCACATAAGCTAAAACAACAACTAACACACACAATAATAAATGTGTTAAAATTATATAGTCTGAAGAATTGTTTTATAGCAATTGAAGAGATTTTGAACACAAAAGAGACTAATAATACAAATTAATACAACTACAATAAAAGAGAGTAGACTTTAGTGTTTGTCTACCTGTAGACTAATAAAGAAGTCTGCTTTTGTTGTACACATTTAAAAAAGTCTACATTACAGAAATCATACTTGTTTAACACTTCATAACAATACCAAAGAAACCTACAAATTAAAAGTTCATACACAACAACAGGTAACTGAGCAATTTTCTGTGAAAAAAATGAAAATTTACATAGTTAGCGATCATGTTTTAAAAAAACTATAAAGTAGACTTACCAATATGTCTAAGCTAACTACATAATCAAATCAAAAGTATCATAATTTCATAAATATAACATATTTTCTTTTAAAAATCACTCAAACATATTAGGATTAACTAACACACATTGTCAAACAAAAAAATCTTGAAAAAACATAATGAATAATACACAAATTCGCTTTTAATGTATTTTCAAACGTAGACTCCATAAGCAGTCTGCGTAAATGTAGACTTTCGTTACAGTTTACACATGTAGACTCCATATGCAGTCTTATATTTAGGTTAGTTTTTGCAATTGAAAAATTTACGGGTTACTTTCTATATTTGAAAAAAAATTGTGATTTTATACATGTAGACTTTCATTTCAGTCTACATATCAAAAATATTAGTTTTTTCAATTGACCAAAAATCACCCAAGGTTTGACTTACTAAAGTAGACTTTAGAAGCAGTCTACATGTTTGAATTTTTTTGACAGAGGTTAGTTTTGCAATTGACCAAGTTTGACTTTTTATTAGTAAACAGAAACAAATGTCTACATACATGTTGACTTCATACGAAGTCTACCAACAAATACAGGAGGTTAGTTTTGCATTTAACCAAAATAAAATAGTAGACTTCATGTGATGTCTATCATTTTTTTTTTTTGAAATTAGTGTATTGTAATTAAATTCTACACTTTTTTTTCTTTTTGGTCAACTTTTTAACATTTTAGTCAAATAAAAAACTAACATATTCAACAGAGTCAAATTTGGGTCAAATACAAAACAAACTTTTTTGTAAACTTCTCCGGAAGTCTACAGTCTGTAGATTGACGACGAAGTCTACATTGAAAAGTCAAAAATATGGTCAAATTCAAAACTAACCTCTTTTACGTAGACTTCTTTGTAAGTCTACCTCATTTTTTTGTTTTTGTTATCAAAGGTAATGACGTAGACTTTCAGGGAAGTCTAATTGCATAAACTATAATTATGGTCAATTGCAAAACTAACATGTGGGTTGACAAGTAGACTGCATCGTAAGCCTACACGTAAGCGTAGACATATGATACATCGCGACACAGATCTGAAAAATGACAAAAACCATGTAAATAAGTACATTTTTCCGGTGTAAAGCTCGCTTCCACCCTTTTCCACCGTCCAAGCTCCAAATATGAAGAAAAAGAAGCAGCTTAGACGACCAACAACAGAACGACCAACAACAGAGTACATTCAAAATAATGAAGTTATGCTTATGAAAATGAAAGTATGAGAGTTTTTTAGATTAAAATAGAGAGGAAATGAGAGGAAGTGAAGATTTGTTGGTTTAGAATGAAAAAAAAAAAGTGGTTGAAAATTGAATTTGAGATGTTTAAAGAGCTTAAAAATAGTAGTTCATGGTGGTTGAAAATTGATGAAGATGAAATTGTTGTAAATAAGAAAAAAAATTTAGGGTGTAATTGGTTTTTTGTAATTTTTGAAATAATTAAGAAAATAAATAATAATGACAATTCTGTAAATATTTCAAAAACATAAGGATGGTTTAAAAATTTCATGGATGAATAATAATGACAAAAAAAAGAGGTTGGTTTTTGCAATTGACTTCAATTTGTGCGTTGGTTTCACTAAACACCATTTTGTTTTTGGATAGGAGTCCAAATTTGTAACGCTTGACAAAGTTCAATGATCCAGCTTTGTCCTGTATCTACTTCGCAAGTGTGTGGCCTAACCCATTTATCGATAATAACGATGAGGATAACAAAAAAAAACGCTTCTTCATATTATGAACGTTACATTAAGACGTGAACAACTTGTGATTTGACAAAGTCTATAACAAACAAACACTCACTTATCAGTCTCTTATGCACATTATTTCTCAGCACTTGAGGTGTAAACAACCAACCGGCCGTAACGAACACAAACACAATAACCACAATACCCGAGACAGCTCGATGCGGTGGTGGACACAGCCGCATCCTCTTCACCCATATCTCCAAAGAAGTTACAACTCCATGCAGCACAAAGAAACAAGTGACTTCCCAAGTTGGAGATTTACGGATAGTATAAAAGTAAATAAGCTCATGCATTAAACCGGAGACAAGAAACGTTGCCAACATTCCAGCATAAAAAGCCATCTTTGGACCGATTAACCGAGCAGTAAACTGCTGAACCGGGATGTGAACGGTTGGACGTAGAATTGATGGGACCATGCGGTTCCATCTACGACTCCAGAAGTCTTGTAATGAAGTAGCTAAGTATGGCTCGTTAAAGACCGGTTCGATTTCACAACCAAGAAGTGTAGAGAGCAACGCACCGAAGGAGAAGAGGATAAATTCTGACTCAAGGTACAAATGGATGGTAAAGATAGCCAAGAAAGGGAGCTGAGATAAACTGTTATGGTAGTTGTTACCGTAGAGATATAATAAGAAGGAAAATACCATTATTTTGGAAGCAAGAACCCATTTAGGCATAGGTTTGTTGTGGATTCGGCTTGAAGAAGGGCTTTGGTTGGTTTTGATGGGGAAACAAGCGAAGCAGAAGAAACGGGAGAGACTTGAAGGAAGTGGGCTTAAAGGTTCTTGATCAAAAGCAAAGAGAGCGAGCTTGAAGTTTGCGAGCCATGTGAGGAAGAAAGCTGAGATGACGCAGAAGTGGACAGAAGAAAGGAAGAGAGGAGCAAGAAGAAAGATGATGAAGATGGGAAGGAGAGAGAGGAGACGAAGAAAACCTTTGGAGATTTTTGAAGAGATGTAGTAACAGTAAGATATGGAGATTAAGGCAGAGATCCAAACCTTGATCAAGTTTCTCAACTCTTCTTCCATTAATTCTTTTGCTTCTCTCTTTCTTCAAAGTTCTGTGGGTTGCTATTTGTTGTGTGCAGCATGCAATTTATAAAACAATATCCATAAGAATATGAAAAGTGAAAAATAATACATAAATTGTAAATAAGTTTTACATTTTGTCAGATTTGCGTCGTTTATTTTTTTGATTTACTATCACACTTTTTATAAAACAAACAAAGGAGTAAAGGGTAAAAGTTAAGAAGGTTTGTTTGGAAATTTAAGTGAATCTTGTACTATACCAACGAACTAATGATTTTGTAATAACATATTAACAAATGATTTACAAGAATTTTCTCTAGTCAAACAAAAGAAACAACCTTCGTTTCCTCAAAATATATATCTAATTTTTGACATTATTAAATCATCGAAATTCAAGATTAAAATGTCTGCATGAGATATATAGATGACGGCAAACTTGAAGATCAGCTTTAAATGGACTTATGTCAGATATTTTGGCAGTCTGTTTTGTTATAAATACTTTGTAACAGATATACTTTGACATTTATCTCCAAAATTATATACACTTTGACATGCAAAAGAGATTTCCCTTTGTTAGACACATTCAATGATACGTTACTTTCAATCTTTGGAGGTTCACGTGTCTTGACTTCAAGAGGTTCTTAAATTCTGCAACAATAAATCAAGTTTGTTGCGCTTGATCCAATACTATCTCATGGTAAAATTCTCTCACTTGGACGTTCTAGTATTTTTACTCCTCTACATGAAATATCTAATGAATCCACTAGACTGACCATGGTTTCTGTATTTAATTTTGACCAAGCACACAATACAAAACTGAACTGATACAACTAAAACTTAAAGAAGCAACAACACGTTTTGTCAAAAAATCAATTATTAAATCAAGCTAGCTAGCAACGTGCTAAACTTTGAAAGGAGTGAACTACACAGCGTGTCACACACTTTTAAATACGTTTTCAAACAATGAAGAGAACTTCTGAAGGTTGGTTGCTTTGCTATTAGTATTGTTTTTACATTAAAAAAAAAAAAAGAGAGAGAGAATCATGGAGAAGAAATGAACAACTTGCGTTTGACAAGGTCAATAACCAACAAACATTCACTAATCCCCTTTTCATGAACATTGTTTCTCAGCAGTTGAGGAAGGAAGAGCCAAGCGCCGGTTACGCCCACAAACACAAGAACAGCGAGACCTGAAACACCCCTATGCGGTGGTCTCCACCTCAGTTTTCTCTTCACCGCTATCTCTATGGTAGTGGCTACACCGTGCAACACAAAGAAACAAGTGACCTCCCAAGTTGGAGGCAGACGAATTGCGTAGAAGTAGACCAGCTCGTGCATCAAACCCGAGACAAGGAACGAGGCCATGACCCCTACTAACACAGCTGTGTTTGGACCGAGAAAGCGTGTGGCAAAACGCTGAACCGGAATGTGGACGGTTGATCGTAGTACAGCTGAAACCATGAGGTTCCATCTGCGGCTCCAAAAGTCTTGTAGAGAGGTGGCTAGGTATGGCTCATCGAAAACCGGCTCAATGTCACAGCCAAGAAGTGTAGATACCACGGCCCCAACAAACACCAAAACAAGTTCAACCTCAAGGTAAATGTGGAGACAATATATAGCCAAAACAGCAAACCGAGGCAAACTGTCGCTGTATTCATAGATATGTAACAAGACACCAAAGATCAAAATTTTGACAGCCAAAACCCATTTAGCTTTAGGTTCATTCTTACGAAGACGTTTTGTGATGCCACTTGGAGATGGATTTTGTTTTACTTTGATGGGGAAACAAGCAAAGCAGATGAAACGGTAGAGATTTGGAGGAAGTGGACACAAAGGTCCTTGATCAAAAGCAAAGAGAAGAAGCTTGAAATTTGCAAGCCATGAGAAGAAAAGCGCTGTGCTGCCGCAAAAGTGCACAGAAGAGAGAAAGAGAGGAAGAACAAGAAACAGAACACAGACTGGAAGGATGGAGAGGAGCCTAAGAACACCTTTTGAGATTCTGGATGATATGAAATAACAATAACAGATGGATACTAAAGCAGAGATCCATACCTTGCTTAAGTTCCTCAAATCTTCTTCCATTTCTCAGATCTGTCCTTTGCTGAAACAACAATATTTTGACGGGGTCCAGTATTTTAAGTGTCACACCACAAGATATGAATGATATAAAGTTTAAAGACAAAAGAAGCTGGCTTTCTTTTATTATATTAAACAAAATAAGAAGGCTCACTAGAAAGACATATGAGTGGACGAGAAAAACTATTGATTTCTTCTTCTAGTCTTCCTACAACTTCACCGGATGAGAAAAAAGACCCCAAACTACTTAATGTTGCAAATACAAAGGTAAATAAGAGCTTTCTAGTCGTTAAGCCAACCGCCAGATCTACCAATATAAGGGTAGTTGGGGCCAGGGGCAAACCCCATTGGACCCATCCCATAGTCTCCAGGTGGTGGTGGTGGTTGCTGCGGAAAGCCATGAGGATCATAGAAGTTGTGCCCACTATGTTGCATTGGAGCCTGAGGTGGGAAAGAGCCCATTCTCTGGTAGTTCATTTCATCAAAATGAGCATAACGTTGTTGGAAGGGTACTGCATTGTCCATCAGATTTGGAGGAGGAGGTGCTAACATGGGACCCAAGTGCCCACCGTACTGCTGCGGATACACTTCAGGACCAAGCCCTCTATTTAGATCAGGGTATCCTCGGTAATCAAACATCTCGTTAGGATCATTCCTCATAGGTGGTGCCAATGGAAACTGATCCTGCATCAATGGAGGGTCCGGCATTCTGTAGTGGTCTCCACCCAAACAATACTTGGCAGCAAGACCATCATCGAAATGGGATAAACTTGCACGTTCAAAAGCTTCATATGGTTTCCCACACCTATTTGCTGTTGATGGACGAACAGTGTAGCTGTCCTCTCTAGAAGATCTTGCGGAGCTAGACGGCCGATTTCGCAACTCTTCAGGTTTTCTAATGGCCTGCACTTTACTCTCAGGTTCTCTAATATCCTTTACCAATTTACCTTTTGTCCTTGTTAATGCAGGCAGAGATGCTTCTACAGGCTCGTGAGATCTTTGTGGTGACACATTAGAAATTGATGTGCAGACAGCATATATATCATCTGACGAAGACCTCACAGGACTCTGCCGATCAGATGTCGTCATCTCCGGGATTTCGATGCTCTCTGATCTTCTATTCAACTCTCTTCGGTCCCCTTCCATCTCATTTCTCTTCCAATCGACCGACTTCCCAAGCATCCTACCGGAGTTGTCTCCGGTATCTCTCTCCTTTTCCAGATGATTTCTCCTTGACAAGTGATCTGACTGATGATTAACATATGCTGCAGTTTCCCGTGCTTCAATATTCTCAGAGAGTAGAATGTTATTAACACAACCAGCTACCTCCAGTTCATCCATTTCCATAGGAACTTCTTCTTTTTCCGATCTGGAATTCTCACCATTTTCAAAGGGACTATCTCTCAATGTCGAATTATCTTCACATATGCCATCAGAAGCTCCAAGTGAATGCAAAGATGCACTTGCTTCTTCATCCATTTTCTTCAATTCTAAATTTCCCACATCCCTAGGCAAATGGTTATGCATTTCCGCTATTTCCTTGTGCTTGGCTGCAAAGTCGGGATGACTCCAGAGAGAGAGCGGTGGTGAAACTACATTCCAGCTTTCTTCTAATTGTTTGTCTTCGTTATTGACAGATCCAGGCAGGTAAAAGGACTGAAAGGAACAAAACAAGAAGCAAATTTTAACAGAAGAAACTTAAGTAAAGCTCAACATCTCATAAAACTAAATAAAGGAGGGCAGACAAAACAAAAAACCGCAAATAATTTACCTTTCCGGATACTATCTCCTCATCTTCCCATATACACACATAAGATGACCTCTTTGTATCTAACCTGTTGAGAAAAGTAACATATTTAATTAGAGAGAGGAGTCTTTATTTAGTGTTCTGATTAGTACAGAATATGAGATAGATGGAAAATAAAACCTGTCAGTCTCGGGAGGAACTATGAGGATAAGAATCTTTGGGAGAAATTCAAGAGCCTTAGCAACAAAGGCGTTTGCAAGAGAAGCATTGAACCCAAATGGCGGATTTAGACCCATAATCTGTTCATAAGTATATGATAAATAATCAGACACTACTCAAACTATTACGATGAAACATGAGCTTACACAACGTTCATAGTTTAAGAAAATTCTTATCGTACCAGCCTTCGACCTGGTGGCAACTCCTCTTTGCATACAGTCAGCCAATCTCTTTTCTCAAAACAAAAATCATTCTAAAAGTAAAAGAAATCATTTAATGAGTGATCCAAGAAGACTACTAACAACTCACGATGAGCAGGTGCACAAGTAGTTTACCTTTGCTTGAAAAAGATCGTAATTTTTAAATGAACACTTCTTGCCCGTTTCTTCAAGCTTCGCTTTCATCAGCCAGCTAAAGTCATTAGCACCACAACAAAAGTCGACAATCTGTTGGAAGAGGAACCAGAAAACAGCATCGTTTGTTTATACACAAGAAGATGATACACTATATTAACAAGATTATTATTCATGAAAAATATTAAGAGAAATATAACAAAATCCTAACAGATAACAACCGTGAGCAAATCTCACCATATCACCATCTTCTGCGTACCAGTGGAGCCTATCTACAATCTGCATGACAAAGTAATAATAAGATCTGATCAAGTTTCAGATACAAGAATTAAGAAGATTGTAAGCAACTAGTCATGCAGGTGACAGAAAGTATAAACTAACAACACAGTGATCCTCTCAGAACGATTTTTAAGTCGCCAATTGAGAACAGTATCCAGCCAATATATAACAAATCATTCTCCTTGATAATTAATTCTTGCAGTTCTCGACTTCACAATTTTTGAAGTGTAAACCGACAATCCTTGCAGCCAGGATGTAAGATAAAATATGCTTTTGATAAGATTGATTACCTGTTGAAGTTTGTCGGGCTTAGTAAAATGACGACCGAAGGAGGAATAGCGTGCACCATGGAGAAAGGGAGCAAGATAAACTTTGAACTTATCCTGAAGCAAAAGAAACAAACATTTAAAGGATTAAACCAAAAATGCAGGAAGGGATCTCCAACAGACAGTTGCAACCATGTCTAAAAAGCTAAGCGTAGGACCTTCCACTTGAAGATTTGGCTCAGAACCTCTGGCTCGCAAACTGCTTTTGCATCCTCAATACTTCCTCCTTCCTTAAGCTTTTTCAGTGCTGTTCTGACAGCCTGTAGAAACAAAGTTTGAAGAGTCATTAGTAAGGGATAAAAGTACCTAGATAGAGATAGGGTTCAGCTTTCTAGCCCACCTGAACTGAGCCCTCTACCTTCCCCATAGTGATCGTCTTGCTCAGAACAGTCATTGCAGAGCTTCTATACGTAGATGGACCTTTGTATTTCTCTAATATCGTATCCATAGTGATTTCTTCCTTAGCTTTTTTCATTATCGCCAAGAGCCTATCATCGACAAAAGTAGACATGTTAGAATAAACTTATTCATAAGTCTTAAACTTATTTTAAGCGGGAAAAAAATGGAACTTAAATTGCAAACAACAAACAGGAAAAATACTAACCTCCTTTGAGAATCAGTGTCTAATTTAGGTATTTCACTTCCTGGCTCCTTGGAGGAGACTGAGTCGGTCTTCTTGTCTTTGCTGTCGACTTGAACCACGCGCCCAGATTTTACTATGTTAGAATCATGCATGTAATTAAATAACCCCTCGCCCAGTGAGACCTTGCTTTGCTCCGCATCCCGTGCTTCATTCACTTCCACTTTCTTCTTGCCAGCTTCACGAGACTGTCCATATTCCATCGTCTTCTGGAATTTGTTTCGAACCAAGTTCGACTTTCTGAATGGATCAACTTCCTTTCGTTTCCTCATATGATCAGGTACAGACGAAACTAATCCATGCTTCTTTGTTGAGACACCTTCTTTAGAAGGAAACGGACTTCTAAATGATTTTACAGAAGCTTTTCCACATGTATCTCGTGAGGCAAGATCTTTAAACGTATGTCTCGCTTTGGCTCTTCCCACTTGTGATTCCACTGTCTTTCTTCTCTCTCTTTCCAGCATCAATCTTCTCTCTCTTTCGATCTTTCTTCTCTTCTCCTCCTCGCTAATAGGAAATTCAACATGGTCTCTAACTGGTGTCATGAGCTCTTCATCTATCTCATGCTCTCTACGCAAGGGAAATCATAAAAAAGAAGTGTATCAACGCAAGTTCAAATTTGAATTCCCACTTAAGATACATATATAAAATCTTACAGGCAATATATGAGTACACGGTTGTTCAAGAGCTCATCCCATGCACGTATAAATATATCCTCGTCCTCAATATCTTCAAAAGAAATCTCCCTAGAAACCAACAAGATAGTTATTCAACTAGAATTCTGGAGTTACAACAATAAATAAAGGACTAATAGATGAAGGTATACCGTGGGAGGCATTTTCTATGGTAGGACTTTGGACAACGCCGGCATACAGCAAATTGCAAGTCAGGGTCAGTCTTAACTTCTCCGTTTTTACACACACTGCATTTGTGCAATGGGCACGTAAACTCTCCCGCAATGATTTGTCTCTCTAGTGCTTCAGCCTCTTCTTTATTTCCTAAATGTAGTCGTTTAGAGACACAACGAGGATGGTAAAAGTACCCACAGGTGGCTGACACGCATTGGAAAACCTACAACATTACAATATAAAATGCAAATGTCATTTAGTTAGTTCACAGTCCCCATTATCAATAAACTCGCCTGGGCAGCATTTGATATTAGAGATAAATAATCCATACCTCTGCTGCGCCATTAGAGTTATCAGAGGAACCAAGCTTCTTGCAAATAAAACAACTATGCATCTTCTGCTCACAGTTTGGGCAATAGTATTTCTGAATCGCCTGGAAAAGAATCCAAAACAACAATAACATTTAACTCCATACCTACTCAAGGCAGGAAAAGGTTTTAAAAGGATAACCAAACCATACAAAAAAATGTTAGATGATTGGACAAGAAGACCAAGGTGTTCAGATATATTCAGAACTAATAAGAAAATATTATATGTGACATACTTCCACTTGCATCTTCGTCATGCCAAGAGAATCGCAATGTGACTCTACACCACCATCCAATTTGGTAGCGTGGAATGATCTCAGGCAGCTTCCTTCACAACTGCACAAAGCAGAACACAATACTTATGATTTTGGTTCACTGAAATAAAAACACATAATCTAGAACAAAACTAGTGGATCTTTAGAAACCTTTCCAGGCCCCGATTGTCTCAAACAATTGACAATTATGCATTTTCGTTAGCATCTTTCACATTGCTTACATTTTAAGCTTTTAATAAAATATTTTTTCAAACAAAAAATGGCAACCAAAAAATGAAAACGGAAGGTACACTAGAATTTAAAAAAATTGGCTGAAACGCTAAAGGTTGTCTATCTTTTAGAGAAAATGCATGCTCTATGTAAAAAAAGAGCCAACATAACACAAACAAACAATGGAATCATATTCTAACAAATCAGGTAAAAGGTGGAAGACTTATTCTGTAAAGCAAATCCAAAGAAAATCAAACCACAAGATCAATATCCAGCAAGGAAACATACCACAAAAGATCGCCACCATTGTCACAAATTGCACAAACAGACTCAAAAAAGTCATCATCGTCTTCTTCATCATCCAATGCATCTTCATTGGAAGCTACAGCTGAGTCATCTTCAACTATGAAATCATCCTTTGGGTTTTCCTGAAATATAATATCAATTCTTAGTAGAAGTAAAACCGTGTGAAAGTAAGGGAAAACGCACATGAGGAAAACGAGTTAGCAAGTGGTGAAAAAAAAAAAAGCAAACCTCATCAAGTAATCTCTTTTTGGTAGGCTTCTTTGCGAGAAATGCAGGTATAAACTATCCACACAAGAAAGAAAAACTCCACAAGATTAGGAGAGGGTTCAGGGTATTATACAGAAAACATTCTTGCTATGAAGCAAACAAAACTGTAGATAACAAATATGAGCATCACAAACTCTCCAAAACACAGAAACTACAACACTATACAAGATTCGATAGCCTCGTCTAAATCAAACATCTCAGAGACCAGAAAGTTCTCCTTACTAACCTTGGATTTTGACAATTTTCCATCTCTTTTAACAGCTTCAGCGATTAAATCAATGTGATCAACCAAATCATTCTGTGATGGCTTCACGTCATACGCCCTACAAACAACCAACCCACAAGTGTCAAAACCAAAAGAATCTTAGACACAATTATAGAGAGAAAAACAAAAAGAGTTACTTGAAAATCTTGGACAAATGGTCCCATAGAGATCTATCAGAAGCTTCCGGTTTCCTCCCAAGAAAGTGAAGGGAGTGCACAGTCACCAGAACAGTCCTAATCAAATCCTCGTAGCTTCTTCTCGGCTTTTCAAGCTTAATCCAGACATTATCCTTCGTGAGAACAGAGATCTCAGGTCTGAAGTTGGAAAGATCGAACCTCCAAGCCTTAACAAGCTTGTGCAGAGGCAAAAGACCATCGTCAGAGGTTCCTCGCAAGTACAAACCAGCTCCACTTCCGTCCACTTTCTCCTTGTCGCTCCATTGAATCGGCAGAGAGGCGAAGGAGACAGGGTCCTTATCGTCATCTTCGAAATAGTAATTGGAGGCTGATTGAGGAATAGAGTCTTCCTCTTCATCATCGTCGATGAACGCCATCAATTTCAAAATTTACCTGAACTAGAGACACACAAAACGATCACGAGAGAGTTAAGAGAAAAAAGCTTGAATTCGCGAAACTGCAAATTTACATCTTCACCTAAACCCTAATTGAAATTGAAATTGTAATTAGGGTTCGTCTTAGACAAAGGAAGCGAAGAAGTACACGAAGAAGAAGAAGTAAAAAAACCTTTGAGAATTCTGCTATGCGTCGTCTCCTTCGCTCTGTGTACTGACGAAATCGAATCAGAAAAGGAAAAAAAAAGGACGAATCGTCGTCACAGCGCGAATTAATAGACGAGAACGATAAAGAAACGTGTGCGAAATCGTCACGTGTGCGCACGTGCTGCTTTTATGGGCTATTTGGGTGTCAAACCCGTAATGGTAGAATAGGCCCAATATTCAAAAAGAGGAGCAGATACTCGCTCTATGATAGACGACAGAGGTGAGGGAGACACGGTGGACCTCTTTAACGGCTTGTTTTAGGTGTCGTTTCTAAATCAGAGACCATTAACCATCCATTTTTTTTGGATCCAATGTTTTCTAAATTATTTTGGTTGCTTCATTAACCATCCATTTTTTTGGGCTCTAGATTAAGCAAGTAACCATAAATATGTTAATTAGTTTCCAAATCAATCTTAACTGACCAAACTTTATTTCCACTATTTGAGAAGAGATTTCCATTAGCATATAAAAGATTTGGGAAAATCGCATAAAAAACCTAAGTGAAACTTACTAACACTTTAAACCTTAGAATTTTTTTTTTAATTTTTGGTATTTCAAATTATGTTTTTATAAACTTACTAACACTTTTATTGTTTATTAAATTTGTATTTTTTTAAAAACCTGATAAATTACCTGTTTTACCTGTTCAACAGGTCAGATTTTCTAGTTAAAGGATTTTTATGACACAAATGTCACTTTGAAAGTTTAAAGTGCTAGTGAAAAGACTTCAAGGTTTAAACTGATAGTAAGTTTCACTTTGAAGGATTTTTATGCAATTTTCCCTAAAAGATTTCCATTGTTGTGGCATAGAATTATTTATTTTATGTTTTTGAAATAAATTTACATCTTATATGGTAGACTTCCGCATTTCAAGTATAAAACGATAAATCATTGATTGGTAACCATGCGGAATGACTTATGAAACGCGATTCCGCAAGAATTTTGCCAATCAACAAAATGTTGCGGAATGAAAAAAAAACGCGAAAACGCAAGTTTGCGTTTTTGCTGACAAAAATATAAAGAGAAAATTTATTAAGTGGAAAAGTGAGTTTTAGTAGATTATGGTGGAAAGATTTACAAACTAATATTTTCATATTATTAAATTATATGCTAATACTATCTTAAAATATAAAATACATATCAATAATTTTTAATGATAAATAATTATGTTGTAAATAAAGTTCTATTATAATTTATATATTAAAAAAATCTATTTTTAAAATGTATTGAAAGATATGTTAGATATTTATAATAAAAACTAAAATGTTTTTAATAAATTTTAGTTGTTTTCACTTTTGTAATAATTATTTTAATTATTACTAGTTGTTTTTTATAACAAATTAAAAACCATATAAAATATTTTAATCAATTTAATATATATTCCGCCATTCCGCAAATTTTAAATTTTTCCACGACTTAATTAATTTTTTCCGCAACTTAACTATTATTTCCGCGATTCCGCGATTACGCGATGGTTACCAATCGGAGCCAAAATAATAACGAAATCCATATACTAAGAAATCATAGATTAAGCCCTTAGTCAAAAAAAAAAAACAATAGATTTTGAAAAATTCCCTAGGATATAGTTCACTAGGAGGGAAAATAACTTATTTTTTTTAGGAAAATAACTAAAATAAGTTTCATTAAATAGGTAAATAGATATTTATATCTATAGGGTTAACTAATATATATTTATGATTTAGATATGAGGGATGGGGGTTTAATATTTAAAACTAAATAAATATTAAAAATTAAAATAAAACTTTGAAAAATATTCAGATTTTAAAATGAAAATTAAAAATAAAAAAATTTCAAAAATATGAATTCAAAAAATATATACTTCAAAAATAATTACAAAATATTTATTTTTATTTTTCCAGTTTTTATTATTTATTTAAATAATTATGTATATTTAAATATCTATAAAGTAAAGGTAAAGGAGTCTTTAACCTCTTTAATGAAAAAAACAAATTGGTCATTTTACTACTTGTGGGATTTTTTTGTGTTTGAAATGATTATTCAATCCATCTAAATGAGTTTTAAAATTTTAGTCTAAAATAAAACTCATGCAGATGAGTCTAATTGATACATTTGGATGGAGGTGAATTTACCTAAAATAACAAATGAAAAGGTTACATTTATTCAAATTAAATATTTAAATTTACATTTAGACAACAATAATTATGATATATATATATATATTATCTCAAAAAATTGTAAACTATAAAACCATTAAGTTTTATTTTTCCAGCAAAACCGTAAAACCATAAAACAAAAGGATGACATTTAGTCACGCAATACAGCCCCTGATACTAGGGGCATGCAATGCAACTAAGCCTTCACACATTCCTCCGTTTCTTCACGCATCTAAACCCAAAAGACTCCTAATGATTACATTTCTTACGTTAGTAGCACCTTTCAGTTAGCATTAAAGCGTGGCTATATATTAACAAGCTCATATTAGCAGATTTTAATGGTTTTCATAAGTAGAGCATGAGTAATAACAATACCAATATCCTTACGCATTATACACTTCTTGCAATGGTTTTAACAGCTGCAATAATGGTGAAAGAAGTTACAAGCCTTACCATTTGTAAAATAGACATAAACGACATGCAGAAATGTCGTCAAGCCGTCACTGGAATCAACCCGCCGCCTCCGATCGACGAGTGCTGCGTAGTGGTCCGATCCGCTAATCTGGAATGCTTCTGCAGATTCAAGTTTTATCTACCAATTTTAGGAATTGATCCATCTAAAGTTGCGGCTCTTGTAGCCAAATGTGGCGTTACAACAATCCCTCCTAGTTGCCGAGGTATAAGGAAAATAATATACTAATTGTATTTCTCATGTGATTTATAAATTTATGGGTGAATTGGCTGAAAATACAAGAAGAATGTAGTAATTAAGAAATGTCTAAATATTTGTGGGGAAATAGTAATCATGGAGGGAAAAAAATTGTGGGGAAATTAGGTAGGAAGTGCAAATATGGTAAATATTGTAGGTATGGAATACAAATATTCTAAATTTATTAGGATCGTGAAAGTTAAGTGTCTAAAGTTTTGCCTTCGCGCAGTTTGAAGAATGGAGCTGGAGACAAGTCTCTATGGCGCTTCAAGTGTTTGCTGAGTCTTGTCCTGCATCTGATCTGATGTATGTGAATTTACGATGTTTTTAGTGTCATCTGATTCAAATAAATCAAAGAATTGTAATGATTTTCGATATACCTTGTGTATAGAGAAAAACTATGTCCTATATATAAATGAAAACTGTAAACATGATAACTTTTTCTTTCTTGGCTATACAAAAACCTAAAAACACTTCCATCACAATAACTCTTTGTCATCAGAATAACTCTCAAGATCATATATGAAGTAATAATAAAATATTAAATGGATAATTTAAATTTGCAATTCTCTCAATTGATTCTCAAAAATAATAAAATGCTGCAATTTACTTTCACGATTGCGAATCACAGAAGACTGAAGATAGGGAATTTTCTTCAGTAGATAGGCATTTTTCTCAAATAGCAGCAGATAATGAACACAGGCGTTCTTTGCCTCTATATATGGTGTTGTGACTTGAATTATGAGGAAGCAGAATGAGTACGTTCACAAAACCAGAGACCTGGTGTTACATGAGAAGAAGACTTTTTTTTTGTTGAAAACAAATGTATATGATTTGACAATGACAAGGGCAGAACAAAATAGAAAGGCCAAAACCCATTGGGTCACGTGAAGGACAAGTTCTTTCATCCACCAAGCCGAAGACTTATACATTGAAAGGTCTCCCACATTTGTCCGCTTGCTTACAAATTGTCGACGTAAAAGACCCGTGACATGCTCTACTGTTTTACTAACTTTCACTAAGCATTCACATTGCTATATAATAAGTTCATGCATTATCTTTAAGTTTTCACGATAAAGTAGATAGAGCGAGAGCGAGAGTGAAGATATTTAGTAAAAAAAACAGAAATGGGTAAGAACAATGTCAAAATCCTCATCACAGTTTTTGCAATGGTTTTAACCGCAGCAATGATGATACAAGAAGCTAAGAGCATTCCCCTATGTAAGGTCAACACAAATGACTTGCAGAAATGTCGTCCAGCTGTCACTGGAAACTATTCGCCACCTCCGACTCCGGCCTGCTGCACAGTGGCCAAAACTGCAAATCTTGAATGTCTCTGCCCGTTCCTCTCCAGGTCCGGGATTGACCCAGCAAAACTCAAGGTTCTTTTTGCCAAATGTGGCGTTAACAATCCTTCCTGTTTGCCATGGTCAGTTAAAATCAAAATACCATTAACAATATTAGAAACTGTTTGAATAAAGAGAGAAAGTTTTACGTTTTTTCGTTTGTTCTTTCTCTAACACGCAGATTGAAGAATTGAGCTGGACTGGACTTAAGCCGGCCTGTTGCATACTTTGCCATAACCTGGAGTCTCTAAGTTATAATTTATTATGGTGTTCTATTCTATTAGAATAATCAACAAATTATTTTCAGTCACCTTTTCTTATCTACAAGAACCGTCTTCTATAAATTAAATGAAATAAAGTACTGCTTTGGCTTATTCCATTATGTTCGACTTTCTTGAATATCCAAAAACTAACTCGTCTTACCTCTTCCCTGCTTTGGATTCTTCTAATATAACGCCCATGAATTTTTCTAATATAATGTCTTGGTATGAGATTTAACTGCTTCATAACATTAAGAGTTTTTGTTTCAACATATATATAAAAATATGAAAGAGGCTTGAAGAAAAAGAAAAAAAAACGACTGGAACAAGTCATCCTTGAACTCTCTGTCATGTTATGTACTATGATGCATAATGCGAACATTAAACGCCAGAAACCAGTGAACATCCTATGGAGATTGCATGTTTTTGGAGTTTCAATGGTTTTGAAGCCAAGAACATAGAACAAGCAAATAAGATTTTTGACATGCGTACAAGCTCGAGTAAGATTTACCATCAGTATAATCTTTTATGTAACTGAGAAGTAAAAGAACTGTCAGATCTAATGTATCTGAATTTACAGTGATTTTGTGCTGTTCTGATCCATATAAATCGCTAGATTCTGTAATCGCAAATTCATAATGGCTTTTCCCAAGGAGAACCAAACTCAAAAACTGAAGGAAAAAAATTGAGTTTTTCACTTGGTATTTTCACTTGTCATTGCTTCCTTTTGGTAATAGATAAGACAATTCTCCTGTGAGTTTATTTCTGTTACTAGAGTTGTGACTTTCATCACGTGGAACTTGAGAGTCCACAAAACCAAAAAAAAAACATGTTGGTGACAAGAATACAGTCTCTTGATCTTTTTTACACGGAAAACTATACAACTTGACGAAGACGCAAAGTTCAATCATTCACCACCCGGAGACTTAGGTCTACCACATTTCTTCGTTTGTTTACACATCTTGGACTCGGAAGAGAAGACGACTTGACTAAAAATAATTATGACTCGACGCTTTTGTCGTTCACTTAGCATTAACGTTGCTATATACTGCGTAATGCGACATGTCAAAATGAGATTAAAGAGCCAAAAAAATAAATCAAAATGAGGTTAAAGAGCAAAACCGGTTCTCAATATAACAACATCAGAATTAGTAAAAACCCCATATGTGCTTCTTTGTTATTGGCTAAAACAAAAAGGGGAAAAATCTGACCATAGCTTTCTTCTTCTTCGTCAATGTCTTTTTTTTGGGTCTGAGAAATTTCTTTGTTGATGTTGTTATGGTTTTGAGAAATCTCTCCAAATCATCACTGTGGAGGTTCGTAGATGTTTTTTTTGGTTTCATTAATCTTTTCAACATAGGAGGAGACTAGGAAACACGAGATTAAACACGAGATCAATCGTTTGTTGGATGAGATGCTGAGCTTGGAGAAACTAAAGCATGAATCGTCATCATCGGAGGAGGCGTAAGCTGTGGGTCGTCTCCGGTAATGTCGATCACGAGAAGGTGAACTCCATTCTTCTACTGCTGTCTTGGGTCTTCCCATTGGAGAACACATCAGTTGCAGGTTTTGCTCTTCGTACCTCTTTTGTTTTCTCTTCATTCCAAATTGGTATACTCTAGGTTTTGGTTACTGTATGGATGTTGTGTTGATAGTCTTTGCAGATGGAATGTTATATTTTGCAGAGTAATTAATGGTTAAAGTATGTTCTTGCTTTTGAGTAATTAATATTGTCATCTTACATGAGTTTGCTTTGTGTCCGAGATCCCTTTGTATGTCTCGTGTTGATCACATGTGTTCTGATGATAGCTTTACTCAGACTCTCGTCTCTTACTTCTGCAGAAGATACAGCTGCAACAATCCGTGTGTAAATGAATCTGACCACAAGGAAGAAGCAGAAGCAAAGGAAACAGTGACGAGAAGACACAGCTACAACAACTCTTTACCACTAACTCCTCCTGTAACTTCTGAGATCAAGTTTGAAGAGTCAGACTACGAGGAAGAGACAGAGCCAGAACAAGGACCGTTACAGAGTCGTGCTTCTTCCCACCCGCCAAACTGAGCACCACCTCAGTCTTCTGAATCTAAGTCGAGACGGGACTCAAGCGGTCACCAAGTTCCACCCAAAACTGCCTGACTATGATATTTTGAGCTTTTATGGAGCAATGCCTCTTTCTTCTTCTTCTTCTCTATGTCTCTTTTGCTGTTGACCAGACTAATCAATGAAAGTTTTGAGCTTTTATGGAGCAATGCCTCTTTCTTCTTCTTCTTCTCTATGTCTCTTTTGCTGTTGACCAGACTAATCAATGAAAGTTTTGAGCTTTTATGGAGCAATGCCTCTTTCTTCTTCTTCTTCTCTATGGCTCTTTTGCTTTTGACCAGACTAATCAAGAATTTGATTGATTTTGTTATGGTTTATTCTTTATATGGTAGAATGTGATTGAAACTACAAGAATACTAGTTGTTGTTAATAGCACTTGAGCAATTGATTCATGTTCACATCTACAGAAACTTTGTTATTGTGTTAACATTTTGATCTGTTTCTAGCAATGTATTTGTTTGATCGTTGACTCCATCTATCAATGGAGTTACTTTGAGAACATGATAGGATTTTGCTATGGTTTCTTCTTGTTATCTTTGTGTTTGTATGTGACTGAAACGATAAGAAGATTAATTGTTTTGTACATGTTCACATTTAAATAAACCTTTGTGTTTATGGTTTTGATGTGTTTGGGTATGTAAAACTCAGAGATCTCACGTAACAAGAGAAGAAGAAGTTAAAGAAGAGGAGACAGGGTTGATAGAAGTTAAAAATCGTCATGAGGTTCTTCCATTGGAGGAGGAAAAAACTAATTGCACTAACTAAGGTTTCTAAGTGTCCAAATCATCTTATAAACTATTAATTTTATCTAAAGAGGCCATAAGAGGTTCTCATTAATGGAGGTGCTCTTTGCGCCACAGAAAAAATAGTGAATCCCACATTATAATCGACAAATATATATAAAACAATTAAAATCTTTTTATAGAAAAAATAATATTTTTGACAAACAAGAGCAAATGAAAGACGAAGTTTTTGTAGCTTAACATTATTTGCAAAATAACTACTGTACATAATATGACAGCCTCCTAATATCTCTCTTATATATTATTTGAGGAGCACTTTTAATAAATAGTCTTATCTTTATGTGTGATTAGTAAAATTGTCATTACTTATGTAGCAACCTCACAAGCATTCTCAGCCCTTTAATATAAATATATACATTATTTACTAGAGTATTTACAATTTAATGTGATTGGACCTATGTTTTTTCACTACAAACTACTTCATATGTTAATTGATTCATATAGTTTGTCTCTCTGGTCCAATAATAAACGAATAATATATTCAACTATATGGTAAAACTATAATGTATTTGTCATATTCATGTTCTTTTCTAAAATTTTAATATGTGACATGGTCTTTGTGGTCATGAAATAGTCACTGTTTTTAGTTTTTAGATCACATATCTTTATACGATATTTTAATATGTGACATTTTTTTTGTTAGGACATTAATATATAAAAATATGTCTAAATATATATATATACATAATATTAACATTAGTTGTGTTTCTGGTCAAGACAATATTGTATAAACATATACATTTGTCTAAACATCTAACAATACTAAAAGCAGGATATCAAGATTTTTAAGCGCGTCCACATCAGCTGAAAAAATCAGCCAGTAATATTGCAATTATCCACTTCATCTTTGATTTATTTTTTCTGGGCTTCGTATGGTTTCTGATTAATTCCCCAAAAAGGTTTTATGCCCAAAAAAGCACGTTACAAAGATCATCTTTTCTTTTTAGTTTTTTTTTTTTTTGAATTAGGTGGAAACACCAGCCTATCAATATTCAATAGTGTGATACGTTGAATTTTCATCATTTCTTCTGATGATATACCATGTAAATTTGAAAAGTTTAACTTAATGTCAAAATATCCCAGCCTAAGGTTCTTAAAATTTTAGGAATTTTTCAATTTGCTTCTCGCTTTTTTTTACTCACAATTCAAAATAATTGTTTAAAATCTTAAATCAACAATGAATATAAACATATTTAGGCAAAAACATATGACTGTGTTCTTAATCTTAGTATACACACAACCAACATTGAAAGATCCTTTATTCTCGACCCAATGATCAATATATTTACATTTGTGTGATGCACTTACTATATCTATCATAATTTTATTTAGTACACCACAGCTAATGCTTCCATCTTACTTTCTAAAAGTATTTATAATAATAAAATTATTTAATAAACAAGAAAAAATAAATTTAAAATTTTAAACTATTTAAAACAAATTATAGCTTAATGATTTAAAGATTTATCGTGTAAATTGTATTGATCATCAAATGAATAGTTTAATTTTTTTTTTATTCGAAACATTTCTAGATATAAAACCCCTTTTCAAAAAAAAAAACATTTCATAAATTATATGGTCATCCCAGGAAAAATTGATTAACTAGCACTTTTGTAGTATCATTTTTCATGTTTATCTTTACCACATTTAGCATTACTTTTAAAGAGGTAAATAAATATTTATAATCCTATGGTTAACTAATCAAGATTTAGAATTTAAAATTCATAGCTTAGAATTACTTAAAAATCAATGTTAAAATATTAAAAATTATTTCAGTTCTTTTTCGAATTTCATATACATCTACACAACTCCTATGTTCTAAGTCAAGTTAAATTATGTTTTCAAAACTAAAAACTAAACAAAATCCTGGGAAATAACCAAACCGAAAACCCACCGCGTAGCACAAAATATAAAACTAGAATTATAAGTTGAAATATTAAAATATAATAATACACACATTAAACACTGGAAAAAGAACAAAAATAAATAAATAAAATACATTCACAATTAGCTTATAAGCGAATACTTTCACTCTAATTGCACACCTAAAATACGATATGACCCAGTACCAAATATTACATCATCACATCCATCTAAATTAATAAATCACATAAGTTTCGAAATACATCACATAATAAATCAAATAAAAATAACAGACAAAAATAAAAGAAATTTGTCTTTAAATAGCCTAATGCCTGATAAAGAAATGGGAAGAACAAATAAAAAGGTGCACACACCAAATTAAATGATCAATATTTTCACCAAGTACATAGCCAATAATTTTTTCCTTTTAACAGTTGTTGTAAAAAAAGGACAAATCCCTATCATTATCAACAATATAGAACTGGCAAAACAAACCAATAACAGTGTTTGGAAAACTGCTAGACTCAATATAAAACCAACAACATACATCAATTTTAAAAGAATGAGCAATTTATGAAGTATCAAATTTTATGGTGCTTCCAAATGATAAGAAATACCGACTAGCACCTTATCCTTATTATTTTAACGCAACACCTCATCCTTATATATAATTGCTCCTATTAAAGGAAAATGTACCACAAATACCTTCTAAAAAATTTTGGGTTCAGACTTATGGTGATCTGCTACGTTTAGCCGCTAACAAAATACCTATAAAATAATATTATGGATTACATCTTTGGTTTAGCTTATTTAAATTTAAAATACGAAAGCCTACAAGTATATGTTATAGGTCAAATATACATATGCTTGGTATATAGCAAAAACTGACGTTGTTATAGATTTAGTTCTGATAGGTACACTAAAATCAATAAATAAACACATATAGTTAGTTAGTATATATATTAAATAAAATATAAATTTTTCTAAATATTATTTTTATTACTAATGTTATTGAACAAACAAAATTTTAACTCTTAATAAAACTGAGTAGTATAGAAAATATAAAGTCAAGTGATACACAATAAAAAAAAATACTTCTGCAAATAAGAATATGAAACAAAATCTTCAAGAAGATAATCAATTACTAGGTTGCATGGAATCGAAAACAGATACGTGGAAACGAAATGTTTCGAAACGTGGAAACGTGATTTTCAAAAAAATTAGAAATAGAAACGTTTTAGAAACGTCTATATAATATATATATATATATATATATATATATATATATATATATATATATATATATATATATATTATATAGACGTTTGTTTGATTTATCTAAAAAAGAAATTAAGTAGTGTAAGTATTTTGGTACATTTTATTAAAATTATAATCAATAACTAGAAAAGTAACACATTTTGTCGTTCGATAAGACTATGGAGTGACTGCGTTCCAAATCAAATCATTATACTAAAATGATAACAAATATCAAAGATAATATCAAAATATATGATAATAAACATGTAAAATCACTAACATCAAATGCCAAATAGTTATTTTGTGTTTCTAATTAGAATCGCGAGTTTCCGATTTAGAATCGGGAGTTTCCAAATCAGAAACGCAAGTTTCCATCGTGTTTCCAAAATGAAATTTTCAAGAAACGTGTTTCCAAAGAGTTTTCTCGAGTTTCCAAAAGATTCTGATTCCGAAACGTTTCCGAAACAGGAAACGGACCTTGAACGGAGTTTCCATGCAACATAGATCAATTATTAATTACTGGTAATGCACCAAAATAAATGTGAAAATATATTATAGATACCATTTTTTCAAAAAAAAACTTATAGAATCTGTTTTACGATTATTACTTATTAATAATAGTTTTTGTCTATTTTTATAAACACTTCAAGATTAGCATTAAATGTTGATGCCAAGTAATTTTGAAGATTTTTTGGTGCTATTTTGAGGATTATTCTACAATAGTGAATAATCATCTTATATATTAAAATAGAAGTCACAACCTTGATTCATGTGTGATTTTTTAGAAAATGGACTATTCCTTAGAAAGATTATCAAATGTTACAAATCTAATGATAATATCTTTAAGTATCTTTATTTTTCTATTTAAAATAGAAATGAAATAAATCTAACAAAATCTTTTTGGCATCTTTTAAATTTTATTTCCTTAAATCATTGAATTTAAATTCTAATTACCATAAAATATCATTACAAATTATTATTTTATTTATAAATGAAGTTTTTTTACGTTTCTAGCCCTCGCAAGTCGTCTGGGTCAGTTTTTCTTAAAAATAATTTAAAAATTTTGTAATAAATATTTTGATAAATGAAAAATTGGTATTATGTAATTACCATATGTCTTAAGAGATATAAATTAAGATATAACAAAAGTGAGTTGTTTTCAGCATAGATGAATGAAAGTAGTGTGTCATGATATT